TCTATCTATCTATCTATCTATCTATCTATCTATCTATCTATCTATCTATCTATCTATCTATCCACTGCCCCACCCCCCCAGAGTCATTTATGGGAAGCCAGGTCCAGATTCTTAGTATTTCTCTGTTTTCTTTTCCAAGAAGCTGCCTTTCAAGAGGGACTTCTTCCCCGCACCGTCCCACTCTACCCTCCACAATCTCTCCGTTCTCTTCTGAGAGGAAGCACCTGCCCTCTGTCCCCACATACCGATGCTCAGAGCGTCAGCTCAGCCTCCAGGGCTCAGCACAAAGGGGCTGTGGTTGCTTCTCCAAAGTCCAAGAAGAGAGTCACGTGGTTGTTTGATTTGCTTTTAACAAAAGGAGAGTGTTAGCTATTGCTAAGGGTATTAATCTCCTTGGAGCTCTTGAGAAACAATTTTTGATAACACTTTACCTCATGATTTTTGAACCATACATTGGAAGCGGCTCAAAGAATTGAGCAAGACTCTTAATAAAACTCCCTCTCATGTCATCTGCTGATTTGGTGGAAAAATAGACAGAATTTTTTTTATAATGTTGAGGTCTCCCATGATGAAAGTTAGGTCTCTGCTGGGAGCTGAACTCTGTCTCCTTGTAATGAGTAAAGTAATTCACAGATAAAAGGACGATTTCGAGAAAAAAACCCCATTCACCTCCAAATCAATACCACTTTATGTTTGATTATAATTAAAACTTTTAGTATACTGTGTTTGGTTATTATTGTAATGATAATAATAAAAAAGATTATTTTCAGTATAAAGGCTTATTGTCAAAGGAAATCTGAAAATTTATTTTGGGGCACATTATCTTTCTGGTACTATAAACTGCAGTGAATACTGCTCAGTAATTAAATACACATATTCCACATTATTTTTTGTGTGTTTGACGTGATAACCCAGGGCTTGTGATAGTTAGTTATTTCTCTACTTGGACTATCTTGTCTTTTGAGGACATTTAGACAGCCCTGTCTTAATAAGATGAAAAAGCAGACTCTAATTTTGGGGGAGTCTTTGTGATTAATTTGCTAAGTTTTTTTAAAAAAAGATTTATTTATTTATGCATACAGAACTGAGGTACAAGCCAGAGGTGCAGGGGGTGAGAGGATTCACCAGAAGAAGAGTGGGGAGCAGAACAAGCTGACTGACAAAGTACACTGCTGAGGGGAGCAGCGGGTGGGTCAGGAGAGGTCTGCGGCGCCATGAGGGTCACCTTTGGGGTCAGGGATTGAACGCATGCTGAAGTAGCTTTAGCTTCTTGGTGCTGTGCTTTAACCCACTGCACCACCAGGGAGGGCCAGTTTTGTTTTTAAAGCTAATAAAAATGAAGTTCATGCTTTGTTTTTTTCCCATTAAAAAAATAAAAGAAGCTCTGCTTCCAGAGCCACTGAGACCCAGCAAGGGGTCAAAGCCTAGAGCCACTGAGACCCAGCAAGGGGTCAAAGCCCAGAGCTGGCCAGTGGCAGAGCTGGGACCTGCTGAGGGCCGAGGGCTGTGAGGTGAGGCCCCTTTGATGGCTCTTTGCAGGAATAATATGTCAGGTCAATTACTGATATTACCAGAGAAATTGTGACACTTTCTTCTGCCAGAATCAGAATTTTCTCAGGAATACCAAATGTTCTCAGAAGTGTTGACAATTCCTGGCTTCCCACAGGGTTAGTGCGCTCCCTTAGAGACGTGGGCCTTCCAGGGGACACTGGTACTCTTGAGGAAACATAGCTGTCATTAGAGTTCTCTTAGAAATGAATAAAAATCCCTTCAGAAGGAGAGATTCCAAAAGGTAAGGTTAGCATCCCTTAGGAATTTAGGACGTGTTCCCAGGAATGTGTGGACCCCATAGGAATTTCTACAGTCCTCTGAGGAACATTAAGAAGGTCTTCCCCAAGTCGGTAAGTCTGTCCAAGAGAAAGAAGACTTCCACAGGGAGCTGCCTTCGAGAAGGGGCTAACTCCCAAGGTGGGGATGAAACAGAGATGGATGGAGGCATGGGGGTGTGGCTCAAGAGCTCTGGGGAGTCTGTGGAAGCAACCTCTTCCCAAAAGTTTGTAGAGAGACCTGAACACACACAGGGCCAAAGCCCCACCTCCCAGTAACCACCCCCCCCACCGCCGTCTCCACACGGACACCTAGAGACACATGGAGATACAGACATGCACAGGCACACATACAGACCCATGGACACACACAGATACACGGACACAGACGCAGATGGACTCAGATGCAGTCACATACAGGCACAGCACACGCAGACACACACATAGGCCGCAAGCAGCCACATGCACAGATGCCACCCAGACACCTAGCGAGAGCACCCGCAGAGAGGCTGCAGGCTCAATCACATGCGCATTCAGACACTCACAGATTTGTGGTGGTTTCGGGAAGTCACAACTCCGGCCTGGTTGGCTGCGGAGTCTCAGCCTCCTCAGGCCCAGGGCGGAGTCTTTGCCCTGAGCCCCACCCCCTGCCCTGGAACCTCCTGGGAGCCCTGCTCAGGTCCCTCGGGCGCCTGCCCACTCCTTGGTGCCTGGCCCACCCTTTGGCCTTGCCTGCCTGCTACTTAAGCTCCTCTTGGCTCCTGTCTCTCACTCGGGGTCAGGTGAAGGAGACCTGCCAGTCCGGTCTGAGAGGAACCATGTCCCAGGTGAGGGCCCTGCGATGCCTGACCTTGGAGGCCCGGAGAGCAGACAGGTGGTGGTGACGAAGGAGTGGGAGCCCTGGGTTCTGGTCTGTTTCCAGATCTGCAAAGTGGGGATGCTTGGCCTTTCAGTGTGTCTGTCGCACAGTTGATACCACAGCATACCTTCGGGAGGTCAAACCCACTCTTTCTAGAGGCCCCAAATGCGTCAGTTCTCTTGAAATAGTGTGTTAGCTTCTCTTGAAAATTTTAGCTCTAGCCAGAAGGGGACTGCATGTTCCCGGGGGTGCCTCTATCTTTGACCTACCTGGTCATCTGGGGCGAGTCCTACCACTGCACGTTCTGCCTTCGTTTCACCCCAACAAGGCAGACATAATCACAGCATCTTGTGGAGGCGAAACTGGGCCAGGCAGGCAAGGTGTTGAGTGCGAAGTCTGCTAACAAGCTTAGTGAATGTCGGCTGCTGGCTGCCTCCTGCATGCTCACACGGTGCTTGTGTAGCCAGTGGGGCATTTTCCTCTTCAGAGGCAGAGCAGGTGAAAATATGACAGGTTTACAGGTGAGGGAACCGAGGCTCAGAGAAGTTAAAGGAGTGGCTTGCCCCAGCCGCATAGAGAGCATTGATGGAGCTCAGTGAGAGGCCAGGACTCCAGATGCCATTGCAGTGTTCCCTGTTGACCGACTGTTGTTTCCATAGGAACTCGGAGTGACCATGGCCTTGTTTTTGTGGGTTCTCCCCTGGTACCTGCTTAGTACAAGTCATGCTCAGTTAGAAGGTGTCAGTCTCCAAGCAGGTAAGTCATCCATCCTTCCTGGAAGATTCGAAGGAGCTTCCAGAAAAAGCAAACTCATTTTTTCTTGGACAAGCTGGCAACTGTCACCGAGTCTGACTCAGAAATGCTTAGAATGTGAGTGACAGAGGGGGTGTCCGGAGTCACTTGGCCAGATTCCTAACTCCTTTTGGATCACCTTTTGGAGTCTGGAGCATCATTTAATATAAACCACAAGTCACATCTTTGCTGTCTCATCATAGTTTTCCATTCTTACATTTAGCCTCCAGATAAATCTTTTTTGCCTTAATCTCTGATGACTTAAGTCATGTGAGGTCACAGGTGAATGCTTAAGCATCTGCTTTGCAGGCACAGACCCCAGGCTTAGAAGATCCAATGCTTCAAGTCTGTAGCCTGGCCTGTATGTTCTCTGAAGGTTTATCAATTTCTGGCGCCAGTTTCTGTCTTAGGGATTGCTTGGGGGCAAGGAACATAAACCTCCTCTACAAAGTAGTTAAGAAAAAAAAAAAAGGTATGTGAAAAAGGTAGAAGGGTTATGTCACTGATTTCAAGGCTCAGAAGTCCCCTGGGCTTCCCAGAGCCCCACAAACAAGATCTGAGAAGCTGTCAACAGCCCAAGAAGCTACCGACGCTCTCCCTGAGGGTCCCGTGGCTGATTCTATGTCTCAGAGCACAACTGTATCATCACAGTCTGTTTGTCCATCAGTGGCCCACATGTGCCACCTCGTGTCTGACTTGTCAATGCTGCCTGGTTAAAAGCTCCAAACAGTGAGCACCTGAGTCTCAGCTTCAAAGAGGCGAGTGTGATCCTCCCGCTGGTTTCCCGGCATGCCACAGGGCTCTGGGCCGAGCTTGTTTCTGTCACTGGTGGGAGAATGTGACCTTGTTCACTCTATGTCTTTGTCCCAGCAGACGACAGCGCGACAGGAGTCTCCCTGGGCAGTGTTGACCCATTGGACACAGATCTTTTCAGTATGAATGACCAGAACAATGAGGTCACCATCACTTTTCCAAGTAGTGAAGCTGTCCAGTCCTCTGAACAGAGCAACCCTGGGTCTAACACGGAGTACATTAGTCTGAACTCCGGCCCTGGCAGCATCACTGCATACCAAGCTCTGCCCCAGCAACCCAGTCTGCTGACCATCCTCTCAGTGAAGACCATTCAGGCTACCTCTGCTCCACCCCTGGAAACAACCAGAGCTGCTTCTGCTCCACCCTTGGCAACAACCGGAGCTACTTCTGCTCCATCCCCGATGACAAATGTGATCAACCAAGTCACTACAGGTAAAAAACCCAGCCTGCTGACCATGCTCCCAGTGAGAAAGGCTAGGCCTGCTCTACTCCTACTCTACCTCATAAGAACAGATATAACCAACCCAGTCAGATGAGTGATTAGGGCTCGGTTGATGAAGGTGACACAATGATCAAAGACCCTTCTGCCACAAAGGAGTGACTACTCCCTCTGGACAGCTGGATTGAGAGGGCACAGAGGGTCCTGGCTACTCTGACCCTATGTCATCAACCCAACTGTTATAGGTGTGGTGGTGTTACTGGGTGGTGTTGACATCTCAGGTAGTGGTCAGATGCTTGTCTAGTGTCTGTTTAGTTAGGGGCTGGAACATCTTGTAGATGGTCACCTTGCAACTGGTGAAAATAGTAGTTGGGGGTCAGTCGGGGCAGAATCAGTGATGGTCAGACTGGTGATAAGTCATCAAGTGATTGTGGCAAAATTGGGAGTGGGTCATCTAGTGCTATCATCAAATTGGGAATAGGCCATCTCATGGCTATGGTCAGTGAGGGTCTGGGCCATCTGGGTCAATCTGAGGCAGGATTAGAGGATGGTCAGGTCACTTCATGGTTATGGCCAAACTGGAGCTGGGTTGTTTGGAGGGTATAGTCAGCCTGAGTCTGGGTTATCTTGTGGTGAGGGTCCATCTGGAGCAGGGTCAGTGAGTGGTCCAACTGGGAATTGGTCATCTAGTGGTTATGGTCTTTTGGGACAGGGTCAGGCAATGATCATCCTGGGTCTGGAACATCTGTTGATAATAGTCAGCTTGAGGCAAGATCTGATGGAGGAAAGAGTTGACCTGGGTATGGGTCACTTTTTCATTTAGTTGATATTAGACTAGTCAATGAATGGATTAAATTAGCTTAAAATTGAGCCATCTAGGGTGTTGGGTCAGTCTGGGTTGGGTCAGTGAATGGTCAGTTACTAAACCATCTGATGACTGTTGAGTGTGAGACTATGTCACTAAGAAGACTTGTTCAACTTGGAAAAAGGATGTCTAATCATCATACTCATGTTGGGGCTGAATTGCCAGAGATTCTGGTCAGTGTGGGGCTAAATTATCAGTTGACTATGACCAGTATGGAGCTAAGTCACTTAATGGTCAAGGCCAGTCTGGAACTGGGTTATCTGGAGTGATGGTCAGTTGGAGTATCTTTTAACTTTGATCACTCTGGAACTAGGTCACATAACAATATAAGCAACACTGAGAGGTCATTTTTAGGTCATGGGCAGTCTGGACGTGGCATCCCTGGTCCTGCTGATCCCATGGGGGAGGGTTGCTCCAGCTCAGAAGTCCAGTTAGTGACAGTGTGCTGCTTCCCCAGGTAATAACAATCAAGAAGCTGAAATGGCATCTGGAAAACTCCATGACACAAGTACCCTAGACAAAGATCTGGCTCAGAAAGGGCTGAGGATAGAGGTCTCTCTCCACAACCCACATATAATCAAGAATATGGAGGAGCCATTTAAGATCCCCCTGGGCAGCAGTATCTCACATCTTGGCAAAGATGATTTCCTGGAGGCAGCTGGATTCTTGGCTATGGAAGGCCTGGCCGGCAACGGTCCTCTGGGGGGCCTCTGTGGCCACGGGAGTCTTGTTGGCATGAATGAAGTTTTAAAGAGCTGGATTCCTCTTGGGAAACTAAACTGGTGAGTTTGAGTCTTTTAACAATAAACTAGTCCACAAGGCATTGATGAGTGAAGTTATTTGCCCAGGGATGTAAGCGCCCGATCTTCTATGTTGACCGGGAGAAAGCAGCATCAGACACCACTCTCTGCGCCCACTTGTCTGACTATGTAGTGCCTGACAACCCCACTACAGCTTCACCCTTGGATTTATGTCAGTCCACACTCCCACTAGATCACTAATAGAGGGTGCAGCAGAAGTCCTCGCCAGCTGATGCCTTGGTTATTAATAATACCCCTGTGATTAAAATAACATTCTTCTTAAAATCTAACACCAGCTCTCAACTAATGATGTTAATTTGATGACTTTTATGTTTATATCTTAATGAATTGGGAAAAAAATCTGTTATAGACTAATGCTTTCCTTATCTAGGTTAAATAAAAATAGGTTAAAGGGCCCTCCCTGGTGGCGCAGCGGGTTAGAGCCCAGCACTAAGATACTAAAGCCACATCAGCATGAGTTCGACCCCCGCCTGCCCTGGAGGTGACCACATGGTGCGGCAGACCTCTCCTGACCCGCCCGCTGCTCCCCTCAGCAGTGTACTTTGTCAGTGAGCCTGTTCTGCTCCCCACTTTTTCTCTGGTGAATCCTCTCACTGTGCCTATACCCCAGCTCTGTATGCATAAATAAATAAGTCTTTAAAAAAAAATAGGTTAGGGCCCTCCCTGGTGGTGCAGCGGGTTAAAACACAGCACAAAGAGGCTTAAGCCACTTCCGCATGAGTTCGATTCCCGCCTGCCCTAGGGGAGATCCACATGGCGCGGCAGACCTCTCCTGACCCGCCCGCTGCTCCCCTCAGCAGTGTACTTCGTCGATCTGCCTGTTCTGCTCCCTGCTCTGTCTCTGGTGAATCCTCTCACCCTCCGCATCTCTGGCCTGTACCCCAGTTCTGTACGAATAAATAAATAAATCTTTAAAAAAAATAGGTTAAAGGTGGGGGGGACTAAGGGAGGAAAAACTGCATTGCAGTGTGAGTGCTGAGTTGAAAAGACTGGATATTTCTCTTTTCACTTTCCCTCATTCTTCCAATTCTGCAGGCTCAGAATCATCCAATTTGATATTGTCCTGATTGCATGGAAGGTCCATCCCACATCCAAACTCCACCTGGAATTTCAGACAGAACTGATTATCATTTTCCCTAAGTAAGTAATTTGATCATGGTTAGAGATAGGAAGTAAATGAGAATTTCTGGGGATTGTTGGCAGTTTTTAAATGACTGGCAAAATATTCACTGGCTAAACTTGGTCTTGTCCGGGAACTGTGGAAACACCTGCTTGAGCACACACATGGCTACTGACAGGGTGGGATGAGGGTCAACCTGCTGTTTTTCTGCCGCTTTAATAGTGACAATCTTTCTAGTTATAAGCTTGGAGGAAAACTTCAAGTTTGAACCCAAATTAACAACCCAGGCACAACAATTATTATCATTTCCCTTTGCTTCTTTCTAGACTTCATTTCAGCGCCATTTTGAGTATCAAAAACATTCTACGTCCTGATCATTTCAGCCATTTATACCATGGTACCTTTTAACATTTCTTCTGTTGTTAGATGCTTGGGTTTTTCCAAATTTTCACTCTCACAAAGAACGCTATGATTAATATCTTGAGAAATAAGATTTTGCTCCTATCTCTGATAACTTATTTATAAATTCTCAGAAGCATAATTTATAGCTTTTGATTAGTATTGCCAAGCAGTTCTCTGAAGACATGTTAACGGTGATAAGACATCATATCTTTCGCTGCTTATTATCCCAGACACAGTGCTAAGGATGTCCGTGAATGGTCTCATATGTTCCTCACCAAAACCTTAGCAGTGAGGTACAGCTATTATGCCCATTTTACAGAGCTGAAAACACCAATTCAGAGAGATTAAATTCACTTGCACGTGTGTGGATGGAGTGTGCACTTAATACCTCCGGAAAGGGCATAACAAGCATTGTTCATATACACCCCAAATAGGGGTGCTGGGGATCAGTGGGGGGAGGCAAGCTTTGGGTTGGACACTTGTTCTACTCTTGGAATCTTGCATCATGACAGTGCATGACCTATTCAAAAAGAAACAAAAGAATTCAATTTAGCCAAAATTAAATGAAATGTTTACTTTCGAAAGCTATATTCAAAAACACAGTTAAAAATATATCCTGAGCGGCATGTATCATTAAAAAATATATCATTTAAAAAATTCCAGGCTTGGTGGAAGCCTGCAGAATGGTCTCAACACTTCCTCTGCCTGTCTGCGGAGAAGGAGGAGACAAGTGCCCTGGCTTACCTCTGGGCCTGGCCTGGGACCCAGGCTGTGCCCTGGCTCTGACTTGCCACGTCACTCCTGCTGGGTCTCCCCGCCTGAAGTTCCTGGGCACCCAGCTCACATAACCACCTTCTGTTTTCCAGGATGCTAAGTTCCCTCAGTGTTGCCAAGCTGAACGTGACCATCAACGTGCTCTTAACACTGCACCAGAACAGTTACGGCCACGTCCTGTTCCTCCCGAATAGCTGCCAGTCTGTCTGCACTGACATCCATGTGCGAGCTGGGTAAGGAGCAGCAAGGAGGACACAGAACCCACTGTGCGGGCTGTGAGGACTGTGGAGTGCCTGGCGGACATTACCGTGCCCGCCGTGGGCCTCTGCCAGGGTCCTTGCACCCGTCCTCCACTGCACTTGTCTTCTCACCTCAACCTCTGCCCACGTTTCTTCTCTAGGAAAGTTAGGTTTCTCGACAGAAGAGAAGCACTTGCCTTTGGGGAAAGTGGCCTGTGTGTGAGGCCGCTGCCTGGATTCTGATCCCGGCTCACACACGGGTCCCTGGGCTGGTTCGCTGTCAGAGCAGTTTTCATGTGCTAAAGTGGAGATGTCTCTGAATTCTGGGCTCAGAGCTGCCTTTATATTCATCACTCATTTGTTCATTCATTTATTTAACAAATTCTGAGTCAGTCATTAATGTGGTGCTCCTGGAGATCAAGACCAAGAAGGGTGAGTAAATGGTCAGATGAGTGGATGGTGGGAAGATAGGTGACTGGGAGGATGGTTGGGTGAATGGGTGATGAGGGCATGAACAGATGCAAAGATGAATGGGAATGTGGTAGAGGGATGGATGGATGAGTGAAAAGAAGCTCATTGGCCATCAAGAAGACTTTTGTGGACTGCCCTGGAAAGCTCTGGTTAACTAGATAAGGTCTAAATGCTCATTTAATGAACTGAAGGGCAACAAACTAGTCAGATTCTGTAGCCTATTTCAAACAGACCATTCTCAGAAATGGCATGGAGAGGCTGCGTTGGGAACACATCTATGTCCACTCAATGACAGTTGAGGTCGTTATTTCATGGCTTACATGAGGGATAATTCACTCTACCTCAGGAGCGCTACATTCAAGTTCATCCCAGGCAGTCTAGCCTAAGGCCTCAACTGCATAGTCCCTAGAATATTCCTAGCTCCCAGATTCTGAATTCCATGCCTTGGAACAGAAATCACAGCCTCCAATGTTTGTGATAGGAAGTGAGCATAATTAGTGCCCCAAATTAAGAGAAACAGAACTTAGAAGTTCTAGGGGCACTAGAGAAAGTTTTAGGGGCAACAGAGAAAGGTGGGAGCCGCCGCACAATGGGCAGCTTGCCCTTCATCTGAAGAGGGCCGTTCCTCTGTGGCTCTAGCTGATTGGCCATGTGGGAAGGTGGACCTGGTCCTGCTAGTTTTCTGTATTCTAAAGAGAACTTTGACTTTGTCTTCGAATTTTTTTAAATACTGAGAGCTTGCTGTAAAATTTTAAAAGACTGTTCTTGCGAAATAAAACACACTCGTGGGCTTCATTTGGCCTGCAACCTGTCACTCTGCCACTTCCATTTTAGAACAAGGTTTCTCAGAGGAAATGTCCTCCATGTACCTTAAATCAAGCAACAGAGAATGCCAAAGATACCACCTGTTCATGAGGTGGCAGATGCTCTACTGATGACGGGTTGAATGTCTTCCAGCCCAACTCTTTCTTTTACTTTTTAAATCTTCACAACAACTCTATTTTGCGTATGACACAGGAGCATCCCAGAGAGGTTAGGTAAATTAGACAAGGCCACACAGGCAGCAAGTAGGAGAGCTGGGATTCAAGCAACCTGTATTTTTTTTTTAATTTTTTAAATTTTTAA